ACCACTATGACTAGAGCCCCATTCGTTCTGACCCTCTAGTGTTGCAACTTCTGAAAACCATCGAAGCCACACATACTCACAAGCCTATTAATCAAAAATCTCACATTACCTGTCAACACCTGCTACAAATTCAACAACAACTAAATGCAAACAACAATGTAGACACCCTATTCTGGGCTATCGCTTTGTTAGCCTTTTACGGTCTTGCACGACTAGGAGAGCTTCTACCAAACAACCAATCAGATGAAATCAAGGTTCCAACCATGGCCGCACTAAAGTTCGAGTTATCCGGGAGCAATACCTTCATACAGTCCAACTACTATGAACCAAAAAATACAAGTCCACCAATCGTACATCACTTATTATATACCCAACTAATGATTCTTTGTACCCTGTATGTGCATTGAAGACATACATGAGTATCCGCATACAAGAATCGTATGCCAACAACAGCAACCTACTGTTCGCCAAAGGTGACAGTACATGGGCCACCAAACGCTAGTTCATCACAAGACTCAAGCAACTACTCCCAGATAAGAACCTAGCAGGACATAGCTTTCGAGCGGGTGAAACCACAGAACTTGTCATGCGTGGTGTGCAACTCGTACTGATACAGAAAATCGGTCACTAGGACTCCGAATCATTCTACAGATACATTCGCAGTCACCCGGCATCTATTGCATCAATTCTCACCAAAGCATAATCTGATTGACCCCACCACAATTTGGAATCACCTGGGCCAATCAGCACTAATACATCATTCAACACCTATGTAATGACACACAAATAAACAAAAAAAAAAAAAGAGAGAGATAAATGTGGCATACATATATTACGTGCAGATAGCAAGCAAATAAGCAATCAAATAAATAAACCTAAAACAACTAAGCTACAGCAACAAGAAATATACAATAAATAAATAAATAGTCAATAACTATAGATGCATAATAAAGGGGGAAGGAACCTAGTATACAAACAATAAGCAGCACACACACACACACAAAAAAATAATAATAATAATATATATATATATATATATATATATACATAATAATATCAATAATAAATAAATAAATAAATAAAGCAAAATACATTT